GGCGGCGGGATGGCCTGGAACGAGTCACCCCCTTGCCGCGGGACTCAGAGGCTCGGCCAGAGACGGGCGACGTCCTCCACCCAGAGTCCTGCCTCTCCTGGGACGTGCGCCTTCGGAGCCCTGCACCGCCACGCGAGGAGTCTGGCTGTCACGAAGAAGTCGCCACGCTGAGAGACCACACAGACACCCCAGAGGCAAGGGGGTACACTGAGCCCCATCTGTGTCGACCTCCAGCTTTTGCCCAAGTCAGCCCAGCCAAGTACAGGCACGGAAGTGAGGCGCCCTCAAGGTGACCCTGGTCCAGCCGCCACCCAACGGCAATGCCCTGTGTGACCGCAGCCAGAGCCCCCGGTGGCCCCAGCACTCTCCCCATCCAGACAGAGGGACAACGAACGCCGTGGAGAGTCTGGGATGAAAAGAGAAACTCGGAGGTGCCAGTTGGTGGCCGGCAGTGACTCTGGCGGGAGCTCAGGCAGATCTGCCGCACCGTCCTGCTGACAGTGCGGAGTCACGGTCTCACGCCCTCCTGCCTGACGCACGCTGACAACGAGCTAATACGTCACACATTACCATGACGAGTTGACACTCGCAGGGGTGTTCAGGGTGGTCTGTTCGCTTCCTCGTGCAACCCTCCGGCTGCTGTGGAGAGGATGGTAGTGCCAGGGGCCGGCAGGTGGTGTGGTGGCAAGGGTGCTGGGCTCCCGCATGGCCGACCGTGGGGCGCGCTTCCTCCCTGTGGCTTGTACATTACGCCGGAGGTACAGCCACGTGTCCAAGGTCCTGAGACAATGAAGGAGGGATTGAGGCGTGGCCGTCAAGGGGTGATTTCTCACTTTCTCTGTCTCTCTCCCGCGAGCACATGCCCTATGGCAAAGAGCATAAAATAAAGATGAGTGAAACGTTCACCGTGAAAAGCACACTGCGCCTTTCTAACGTGGTGCAAACGCGCCCTGGCCTCTTCGTCAGCACGCACCAGCACCACTGTGGTGTGGCTGCCCGTCGGAGTCTGGGTAAATGATGACGCTAGGCGGCCACAGGACAAGTGGACGGGTGCTTTTCTTACCCAAAGGTTGTTTTCTCTTTCAAGGAGATGGGCCCCGATGAGTACGAGGCGATGGAGGACGAGGACGAGGACGAGGACGAGGGTGAGTCGGCAGACGTGGGGGAGTCGGACGGAGACGAGGAGGAGCACCGGAGGGTCTTCGACGTGCCGGCCCGCAGACGCCGCTGCTCACGCCTGTTTTAGCCAGGCCTGTGTGGCCGGAAGACTGGTGGCTCTGGGCCGTCTGGCGGGTTCCCAATCCTGTAAATAGCGGCACCGCCCTCGGCCTGTGGTCGCCCGGGCCCTGGTTCCCCGACGCTGCGTCCGGCCGTCATCCTGGTTCGCTGTGTTTTTGTGGTAGAAGAGAAAATGAGGGCTTCCCCCACCACCCCAGAGTCAGAGGAGGAATCGTTCTTTAGCTAAAGAACAGCCACTTTGTTTTCATATATTTTGTACGTGTAAGGATACAAAAAAGGATGGAGTGGTTTTGAGTAAGGGTTTAAAATGTAGCAGAAACACGCCAGCAGCGAGACCGAGGGCTGAGCCTGCGAGGCCGTCTCCGGTGCTGATTCGGAGCACGCAGAGCTGGTACTTAGGCCGGTCCCTCTAGTGACCCTCGCGTTTTGTGCTCAGGGAGCCGACGCGCTCCGTGACCTGACGCCTGTGGTCTGCCCCTCCTTTGACAATCCCTCTTTGAATCAGTCTTCAGCACGACGACCCCACGCCCTGTCCCCCACATCGTTTCTGACACGCAGTATGCACCAGTCCGTGCCCCACCGTTTCTCCACCGTGTCTCATGTGGCCTGTCTAAACTCTGCCCCATGGTGTCCCCTAGACCTGGCCTGTCTAAACTCTGCCCCACGGTGTCCCCTAGACCTGGCCTGTCTAAACTGCCCCGCTGTGTCCCCTAGACCTGGCCTGTCGACCCTGTGCTAGTGACATGGACCTTACGTGAGCTTCAGTATGTTTTCCTGAAACATGGGGTTTTTTGTAATTAGATAATTGTGAGTTTGGGATGGAATCTTTCAGGTGTCAAAAGCTCATATTTTAAAAGCAAACTTTGGTTCCAACATGGTCTCCTGTGTAATTCCTGCTCTCCCTGAGCCGGTTGCCCTGTGTGGCTGTGCGTGGAGGACAGGTCACTGCTGGTGGCCACTACCGACATGTCACAGCTCACACAGGGATGGCTCCTGGCTTCGACTGCACCCGCCTGTGTGGTCACCTGTGGTTTCCATCTCCGCAAGAAAACTGGGAAGAAGGCGACTGCCACGTGCCCAGCCTCTCGGCAGCAGAGTGGGCGTCCTGCACTCTGCTTCAGTTACCGCGTAAAATCCACTCCGCTTGTCTGTTAGAGCCACCTAACACACTGCCGGCTGGTAACCTGTACACGGCGAGGCGTTGCTCAGCACTAGAAATGCTTGGAAAGTCCGAGGTCCACCCCCAGCAGATCTGTCCCTCTGCTTCAGAGAGGACCCTTCTGTGCTGTCCTCACGGGGGGCCGGGGGGCAGGTGGGCATCTTCAGGTCCGCGGCTGGCGGTTGGCGGTGCTAACCCTACTCCCGGGCGTCGTCCTGACCTAATCGCCGCCTCTGAGTACTGCTGTTAGAGTAGGCTCCTTCCTTCCTTCCTCTCTCTCCCTTCCTGCCTTTCTATATCTGTCTCTTCCTTTTTTACGATTTTGGCCTTAGGGTGCATGCTCTCGCCAGAGAGGCAGTGAGGAGTGAGAACTCACCGGGGAATGGCCATCCCGTCCGCACTGTCCTCCTGCGGTCTTGAATATGCACACACCCCGTGTGAGTTTCAAGCCGCAGACCCAGCTCTTGACTTGCGGTTGGCTGTGTCTAGTCCAGCACCTTCATGCCACCTGCTGGCCCTGTGGGTTAGGTTTCAGCGTGTGAATCTGTTGTGTGGGGGGGACCCAAACACAACAGCCCCAAACACAACAGCATTGATGTTAAAATTTTCCCAGCAAACCCCCCAGAAAGTGCTAATGTTGGCAGTTGAGGCGGGCCTCAGGATCTCTCGCCATTCTGAGCATCCTTGTCATGTTCTGGGGCCTCCCTTCCCTCCTCGCTGTCAGAGCTCCCATGATGCCAGCTCTCCAGGCAGCTGCATCCAGCCTGTCAGCGGAGCTCGCGGCCTGCAGTGCACTGAGCCGGTGACCTCAGTTGGTGCTGAGGGCTCCTGTGCTTCATCTCATTGGCAAGGACGCCTGTTTACACATAAAAGGATGCAGGCGACTGGTGGCAGGAACAGTGCCCAGACCAGACGCTGTCCTTGCTGAGTCAAAGCCATTCCCGGCTCTGAGGCCCCCTGAGATGGCCTGTTTAGGGACTTGTCTAAAGCTTCGAGCTGGGTGAGACAGGTCCCTCACAACACAGGAAATGAAGTCGCCCAGGGCTGTCCTCGCCGGAGTCGGAGGTAACTAGTGCAGGGCTGGCGGGCTGGCACAATGGTGTCACCTACAAGCAGCTGCCCTCACTGCCCTGTCCACCACGCCGTCCCCCCGGGGCACCCGTGAAGCTAAGTCCCAGCTGACACCAGCTGTCCTTGAAAAGCAGCGGTCGTACCCCTGTATGGGTGGGTCCACGCTGAGCTGTAACTGAAAAGGAGAACCGGGGATTGCCAACGCAGTCTTCCGAAGGAAGGCCCTACCCAACTTCCAGGCTTGCTAAGAGCAGGTTACCAAGGGAGCCTGGGACGGGGGAAGGGCTGGCAGGCCTGAGCCGGATGGAAAACGCCAGGCAGAACGGGGATATCCGCCCGAACCGTTGCGGCAGGCTGGTCTGGCTGCCCTGAGGGAAGTCCCAGACTGGCTGTTTCAAACAGCCCACCTTAAATGAGAGCACAAGTCCTGTTCTGAGAGAGCCCTTTGGATGGAGAAAACCGGGATTTGGACACCACAGAACCAGCTCACTCCTGCCATCCCAAAGCCATCAGAGGATGGGGCACAGGACGCAGTGTGGGAACCTCTGCCTGCGAGAGGTTCAGTCGCTTCTGCAGCCCGCTTGGATCTCTGCCGGCCCGCCCTCCTGGCAGCAGCTCCCGCCCACGCACAGGCCGCCCTGGGCTGGGAGAGGGGACCGCAGCGCCCCCTCCATGCTGAGAGCTGGTCCTGCTGGGTGGGACACTTCCCACAGGCAAAGAAAAGTTCGCATTCCTCGTCGCATAGAAACAGTGCCCTAAGGGGAGGTTCTGGTTCCAGACCAGCCTGCCTAAGCCCGTAGACGCAGCGCAGTCCGTCTCCATTCCCACCCCTGGGCAGGGGTGCGGCTCAGGCTGCCAAGGCGGGGCCGCGCAGGCGCAGCAGACAGGGCCTCCCACAGCCTGGCATGGGAGCTCAGGCGCCTGCTGCGCATGGGCACAAAATCTTACAAAAAGAACGTAAATTAAACATTGCCAGCCTGGGACCAGTGCTCACTGGAGAGACAGAGAGGACCCACTTGCGGCACAGTTAGCCACCGCTAGCCGCGTGCAGCTCTTTCTCCTTTCTCCTGGAGGGTTGGGGAACCCTGGCCCAGTTGCTGCTGGCAGGGTTAGGACGTGGGCGGCCAGCTGGGGGCATCCAACTCCCTTCCCTAGGCTGCAGGATTGGTCCCCAAAACGTTCTGAACGCATTTCAATATAATTTTCAGGGTCTGACTGGCTGGGTCCCATGTGGCTGGCTGCAGGGCAGGAGTCTGGGGCCTGGCTCCTTGAAAAGCATTGCAGGAGGTGTGTCTCCCTGGCCGAGATCGAAATCTGGACAGGAGTGACCAGCCCCTCCCAGGACTGGGTTCTCACTGTTCTCTCCCGCAAAAGCATGCACCCTATGGCAGAACTGAAAGAAGGAAAGAAAGGAACTTCGGGTTCTCCTGGGTTCCTGTTGTGGTTTTTTTTGGAGAGTTTTTTTTACCGCTATAGGCAGCTTGTGCTCGCCAGCCAGACAGACAGAGACAGACAGAGAGACAGAAAGCGAGAAATCACCCCCCAGGGGGGATAGTCACGCCGCCAATCCCTTCTCCTCCATTCTCCTCTCGGGATCTTGGGCACGCACGCACACGCGCCCGGCGTGAGTTTTAAGCCACCGGGTCTGGGACGTGAACCGCGGTCGACTCCGTGGGAGTCCAGCGACATAGCCATTATGATAACTGCTGGTTCCCCCCCGTGTTGTTTTTTAATCTACGAGGAGCACCGTCTTCCCGGTGGTCCCTGAGCCTGCCTGGTCTCTATCCTGGCAGCGGTGGCAAGGTCTGGAGGTACGTTGCCTGGGGTGGGGCTGCAGCTCCGTGACCACAATCAGGCGCCCATTGCCTTGGTGCTGGCGCATGGTGCCCTGGCAACCAAGGCCTTGCAGGCAACAGCATGCTCAGGGTGTGGGGAGGGCGCTGGAGCCAGGAGGCGGAGCCCGGGAGCAGGGGCGGGGCGGAGGGGCGAGGGCGGAGCCCGGTAGGAAGGAGGAGCGGAGGGGCCAGTGGGCGGAGCAGAACGGGGCGGTGGAGCGCAGGATGTGGGGGCGGAGCCAGGGCCAAGGCTAAAAGGACAGCATATCTGCGTGACGCAGGCCTTAAGAGGACCTGGGCGGCAAGGTAAGGCTGGGTGGCGGGAACAACAGCCCAGGGCTTGTGCGGGCCCGCCTCGGATTTACAGGGCCTACAGTTCTCCCTGCGCACGCGCGGCTGAGGGGTGCCCACGCTTTGCACGCACCGCGCCAAGGAGACCCCCAAGGCCTGGACCCATGGGCCAACCTCCACGGCCAGGCGGGGAACTCCCAGCCAGACCAGCTCCCGCGACGCCAGGGGAACACTGCCTGCCCTTGCCAACCAGAAAGAAAAGCGGGAAGCGCGCCCTCGCCCCGAAACACCCTGGCCGCAGGGGACGCCCGCCTGCATCT